TGCATTAAATACTAGAATCTTTTGGGATAATGGATAAATATAAAGTATTGTACTCACATTTACTAGAGCATGCCTCGCTCTAGTTTATAAGGTGTAGGTGTTATAATCCCCACCAAGGAATAAGATGGTAACCAGGAAAAATTTATGTAGTAATGGATATCTCAGAGTGATAAAAAAAAATATATAAAATAGTAACTGTTTATTGTACACAAAAATCAATAAAAACAAATAAGAAACACTCTATGAGAAAGTCCATAAAACTATGTCCATAAAACTATGGACTTTCTCATAGAGTGTTTCTTATTTGTTTTTATTGATTTTTGTGTACAATAAACAGTTACTATTTTATATATTTTTTTATCACTCTGAGATATCCATTACTACATAAATTTTTCCTGGTTACCATCTTATTCCTTGGTGGGGATTATAACACCTACACCTTATAAACTAGAGCGAGGCACGCTCTAGTAAATGTGAGTACAATACTTTATATTTATCCATTATCCCAAGAGATTCTAGTATTTACTGCACTATGTGGATTCTTCTGTCTATCTGTGTGTTCTTTATTTGAGACCATCAAGACGTGGACCACCTTATATTTATCCTAAGACGGGGATTATTCCGTCTATGCGCAAGAACAGTAGAGCTCTGTTTTTAGCTCTGTCACATGTGAGTGTACATCTATTTACTCCTTGCTCACTTACGGAATATTAACAGTGCTACACTTATATTTGTATATCTCTTTTTCTCTTTTTGAGGTACATGATTGCAAGTATATGACCATAAGTACTTGAGTACGTATTTGCGTATCACAACAAGGGCGCGGTTTCCTTTTTTCTTTCTGTCCACCATTATTTACTGATACCCAGTCTGAGCAGACATTTGGGCCTACTATTCTAGTTGAAGGGTTTTTATATAGGGCCATAATTCCTCTTAACATTCAGCCTTCTATTCCATATGCTTCTAAAGCTAATTCTAAAAACTTCCAATTTAGCCTATCAAAGGCTTTTTCTGCATCGACTGCTAAGGTCATAAGAGGGATATGTTTCTTATTAGCGTTATCTATTATGTCTATAATTCTTCTTGAGTTAGAGCCTACCCATCTGTCTGGTATAAAACCTATTTGATCATTATGAATAAACGTATTAATAATACTCTTAAGGCGGTCTGCCAATATAGATGAGAATATTTTTACATCAGAATTAATTAGAGAAATGGGACAGTAGCTAGCCACAGCAGTTGGATCTTTTCCTTGTTTCAAGATGGGGAGCATATTTGCTCTTGTCATCTCTTCAGGAAAACTTCCTATTTGAACCGCATTATTAAACGCTAGTGCTAATTGTTTACTCAGAATAGATTTATAAGTATGAAAAAACAGATTAGAAAATCCATCTGGACCTGGTGTTTTCAGTTTCTGGGTTTTGGATATAGCCCTATTCACCTCGGCCTCGGTAATCGGGTTGTTGAGGCTAACTTTCTGAATTTGATCTATTTTTGTTAGATTTGTACTAGTTAGATACTGTTTAATCTTACTTGTAGAAGCTTCGACGGGAAGATTATATAGTAACCCATAATAATCTCTAATATCTTTTGGATTTATATGAGTTATTTGGTTATATACAATCTTAGGTATCCGAGCATTAGCATACTGTTTCCTCAACTTGTTAGTTAACATCTTATCTGTTTTATTCCCTCTACAATAGAATCTCAATTTTAGTTTTTTAATATTTTTTGTTGTTTTAGTATTCAAGCATTGTAGAATATTTTTTTACACTTCTGTTATTCGTTTACCTTTCTCCATTGTAGGATCTGCTTTATTATCAGTTGTAAGCTTATAGAGTTCAATATATAAATCTCCTAATCTTTTTTCTTTCCTTTTAGCTTCATGATTTAACTTTATAAGATAGCCTCTTATAACTGCTTTAAAAGAACACCCCGTATTTAGATTTGAAGTGTCTAAAGGATCATTCTCCTTAAAAAAGCATATTATCAATTTCTCCAATTTAGTCTTACAGCTTTTGTTATATAGCAGATAGTTATTTCGTTTCCACGTTGTATTATTTCTAGCTGTCAGATTATCTTTTATTTCGAATATATACATACTGTGATCTGACCATACGTTTTCCACAATATTTATTTTTACCAAATTATCTACTAAATTTATGTTGCCCCAAATCATATCAATTCTTCAGTATGTAAAATGGACTCTAGATAGATGGGTATAATCTCTTAATTCTGGATTTTGAAGACGCCAAACATCAAATAAGTCATAATTATTTTTAATATTAGTCAGTGAGCTCGTGTTTTTAATTATTGTTTTATTCATTACACTCCCTTTCAACAATTTTTTATCTTTTTGTGGATCTAGTATACAGTTAAAATCTCCTGTGACTATATATATCCCTGTTTTAACTAAATCCGCTTTATTTAGTATTTTCTTCAATTGGGAGAGTGGAGCTACATTGGGTAGGTATATGTTGACTATAGTATATTTGACTTCATTTATCTTGCCTACTAAAATCATAAATCTTCCTTCTTTATCTAATTACTGATAAAGTTTCTCCCACTTAACCCTGTCTGAGATTATCATTGCTACGCCTCTTTTTTTTTTGTCCTTCATAGATGCATGTAAAAAAATTGGAAACTTATTACCTCCCCATGTTAATTTCTCATTTTGTCTCCAGTGTGTCTCCTGAACTAAGCAGATATCCATTTTTTTCTTTTATCATTTGATTACATAACAAGGATCTTTTATACGTCGTATTCAAGCCCTGAGCATTTATAGACATAAACTTAACCATATTTTGGTCCTCTCCCTCTATTTTTCCCCCTCCTGCCCTTAAGACCCCGCAGATAACACACATTTATCACAAACAACATTACATTGATTAGGGACATCTTGTAGTCCCACTTCTTAACCTATCTAACAGAAGACTAACCCTAATCTCTGTGGATATACCCCGTCTCGTGGGTAACCTACTACTCCGAGACTTATGCTTAATACAAGCATCAGGCAGATCTATAAGTTGGAGTCATGGGGCAGCGGCTGGGGGGGAGGAGAAAGAGGAAAAAAAAACAAAAAAAAACCTTCCTTAAAGAATTTTCTTTATATTGAATTATAAAAGCTGTTACCAGCTAGTTCACTTAAAATGATTATTTCTCTACAAGAACCCTCTCCTTCCTTTTTTTTCCCCTTTTCCTTTTCCCATTCCTTTTTTCTAAATTGCTATGGCAAATTTGTAATCCAAATTTACCTTTCCATACCCATATTATAATAAATTGACCTTTATAAACTTTTTCTTCTGAGAGAAAAAAAAAATGCCTGTTAAACCACAGCCCTATCTAATAAATATCAAAGCTTTATGGGTTTTTTGGTTCCTATGGAATTGCTTTGCCCTGGTTGAATGCCTTTTTTGTCCAGTATGGTATAGAGATATGACAGATGGAATGTTTAAAAAAATACTTTACCTATGTGTGTCTGTTATAGTGTTTCCTTATTCAAACACAATTATTTATTGATTTATTAATCATTCACAAAGGAATCAACCATATTTCCTTTACAGAGCATTTTGTTTCATACTTAGTTCATTCACTTTGTGATCATACAGACAGCCACTTTTTTCATTTCATTTAGGTTATAGGTTATTTTTGCCCAAAGAGGGCACCATGATTATTATTTTCTTATCAAGTGAGGGAGTGGAATTGAGTAAATCCATTGGTTTGTTTTTAAACCAGTAATACAATATATTTGCTATGGTTTTTTGTTTTTTTTAAAATTCTTTATTTTTGTTGTGCAGGTGAGTACAAAGCACATTCGTATGCCACAACAGAGCACCTTCATATTTAAACATAGATAGGTTAAACAGTGGCATGGAAAATTTTGCATGTTTTTGCAGACATATCTAAGCGATAACTAGCGCTGCGGAATCTGTGTGCGCTTTATAAATAGCAATAATAATAAATAAATAAACTATCAATTTGAGATCGAACTTGCGTACAATGTCCTGAACGCATTGGCATTCAGAGTTTGAACATAAAATTAAAGCAGTGACATGGTATAAACATTTGCACCATTCTGTGGTGCTGTGCCGTGATTACTAGTGTGTTTGAATTTAACTATATCAAGAACAAGCTATTTGATAAACTGGCCCTTTTTTTATCGTGAGAATGAACATAGCTAGGCCGAAATAGTGAGTTGAAGGTGATTGTTATATAGGTTAGTCTGCCGTGTAGTGTTAATTAGTTGTGTTATGGGAATATAGGTAATTTGCCCGTTTTTATAATTTTGTATATAAGCCTAATGCGCCTGGTGATGCTTCAAAATCGGTGTAGTCAGTGTAAGGGTACTCTACGTGCATCTTTGGGTGTGGTACCCCTGGTTTAACGTAGGTCTGACATATACGCTTGGCTAGTGCGCGGTGCTCTCTTAGGTATGTCTAATGTGTGGGTTTCGTTGCTGGGGTTCTCATGCTACCTTCATGGCTGTATGTGAAGCCTGGTGTGCTCGGCGCTATGTGTGTGTTGCACTTCCGTGCTTTTTTTTTTATAATTCTTTATTTTATTGTGCACTCATTAAAATACAGATATACTTGCAGTGCCATGACAGCAGCAACAAGCGTAATACACAAAATGTTAGATCTGGACTAGGCATGCTATAATTCGGCACATTTTTTTGAATAGGAAGTAAACAGATTAAACAAACATGGCTAGACGATTATATTGCTGATAAACGATAGGTACTGATTGTAGACATGTTTTGATGAGAAATACAGTAGAATATACCACCCCAGACAGCCCCCTATGCACATGAGTAACACACTATAGAAATGGCAGTATGATAAGTTGAATTATCCTCTGGGACATGTTGGAAAAGGGTAAGGGGCAACAAAAGTATATATCAAAGGTAGAGCAAACAATAGGTAAGATGAGAACATATTAGGCTGAGTTAGATATAACTTGAGGTTAGAGACTCATCTTGCTTGTCATCCTATCCCTGTTACATGAAAATTAGCGTCCCAGATTGCTTGGCTTCTCAGGCTTTCAGCAAAGGGTAACTGCTGCAGGTCTTCAGTCAGCAGGTGCTCCCCTCTCATCTCTCCGGCCCTGCATGTTTCCCTCTTCGTGGTGCTGGAGTTGTACTGCCTCAGAGCTTGACGGCAGTATGATTTTTCCACTGTGCGCTGTTTAGGCTGTCTCCCCCACCTCAGGTATGTTGGGCCCATGGTGTTTGCTGTAGGTAGCCTTGGGGTGTAGTGGGGTGTTTCAGGAGGAGCCTCGGTGGTATCAGTACTGGTCAGCCTGCTCTCCAGCTTCCTCCAAAAGGCTTCGAAGATAGCTTCTAGGCGTTGGTAAGTCACAGACATCTCCCTTTCCGGATTCTGGGTGCATGTGGCGTCTGCCATCCTTGGGTGGTGTTCCACCTTGCTCCCCGACTATTGCATCACTGCCACGGCTCCCCGATGGGGCTTGGGAGCTATCAGGGAGGGGACCGGGACCACCCCCGCCAGTCCAAGGGGGGGGGTTGCGTGGTGCCCGCTTGTAGCCGACGGTCACCGGGTAGCTCCAGGTTGGGAGATCGGCCGCCTCTCCCGTCCAGCGCACGCCAGGCCGTATGCTCCTGCGGGTATCTCTGGCTGACTGTTGTCCGTTCATGGGCCGCATCACTGGTAACCATGAGAACCGAGGGCTGGTAAGTTGCTTAAAATCTCTTGTTGTGCTTGTTTGTGGTCAGGACATGCCTTATTAACCATGCTTAGTGAGGAGCTCCAGCAAGGCAGTCTTCCCTCCATGACAGCCAGGCCCTGCCCCATGCACTTCTGTGCTTTTTGATTATCCAGAGGCCTTGGGGAACCTCATCTTGAAAGTGGGGAGGGGAAGGTGAGTGGAGGGAAGGATAATCCTATGTGGTACTGTGGTCCGGGGTCCCTATATGTTAAGTTATATATTCAGTCACAACTTGCAATTACAAGAAAAAAAAAAATTATAATCTGTGATATTGCAGAATACTATTATTATTTTTTTTTATTATTCAAATAAAAGTTAGCTGTAAAGAATATATATTTCTTTGAATTCAAGGACACTCTTAAACATTTTAATTAACCAGTCTGAAAAAACTGCATTCCTATCATATTCCCTTCTATATAATATTATATGCTTTTGGTTATGTAATTCTCTTTGCCCTTTATGTCACCTTTATAATACAGTAATATCAAAAGTCATGAACATTTTATGTATCTGAATTTTTACAATGTCTTCAGTGCCCTTCCAGAAGAAAGCCATTCTGTTTAATTACTGTTTCATCTTACCACATATGATCATATGCATTCTGTTTTTCTTTCTTAATTCATAATTTTCTAATCATAGCAATAACTTGCAGAGAAATATTTAATCAACATTTTTATCTTTTTTTTTTCAATCTGTATTTTATATGGTATTATGCATCCAAGAAAAAACCTGGGTAGAATCATGCCAGCAACATTTTTTAATAAGAATCTGAAGCTGAATAAATAATGGCTAATAGTAGTATTAGCATGTCTCGCTAATCAATGACTCTCACTAGAATGTCCAACCAAAGGTTGAAAACTGTCATTAGCCATTAAAAACCAAACTATTCATGCTACACTTGTTTGTTGTATTTTAGAGCTGCCCGCATGATGCCCGATATAGCTCTCTACTCATTGAAAATCTCACTAACAAAGCATTTTAAATTTTAAATGGGATATCTGATGTTCATTTATGTAATGGTTTGGCTGAAAATCCTCCATGAGAAAATATTTAGGGAAACATAAAAAATATATACATTATGTTTTCTCACCATTTGTTTCAAAAATCAATAGAAAGAAAACAATAGATTTGTTTTTTTTACTATTCCTCCTTATTTTCCTCTATTGTTCCTTTCTCATTTGATATCTAACTCAAATCAATATTCAATGGGTTATTTACAAAAGTGACAATTCAAAGTAAATTCAAATTGGATTTCAAATTTAAGGCCAGAGTAAATTCACTGTGGATACTTACTTTAATGAAACACCCGGTTAGTGGCTTTTCCCTGGCTATCAATCATATTTTGTTTTGGTGCCATGGGTAGGATTCTTTTTTTTATTATATCATCTTTATTAAGAGCTGATGCATATAGAGTACAGGAACAAACATTGTCATCAATATAAGTACATATATTTTAGCAACAATACATCAGAAGAACATTCCAATGTAATCACCAGTCATTCCAACTTCATTCATTCTTTATACATTGTTCATTCTGGCGCGGGGTAGGGACCAAGACTTGTCATAAAAGTCAGTTTAACATATAATTCCCAATAAAGAATCTTATTTAAAGTTTCTAAATCATATTAGTAAAGAAGATCCATTTTCCCATATTCTTTTATATAGATCCAGTTGGTTATTCATAAAGTAAAAACCTTTCTCCACTGAGCACTGGTGATTTATTTCAGATGTTATTTCATGCCAGTTTTGATACCCTTGCTTTTTCCAATTTCTGGCGATGCATATTTTTGCTGCCAGCATAATATGGATCATTAAATTAGATATGGGTTTATCTATTTGGGGAAGGTCTAAGTGAAGAAGAAAAAGCTGCAGAGACAGTAATATCTATTCCCCCAAAATTTCAAAAACAAGTCTTTTTAGGTTGTTTTTCATAATGTCTAACCCCGAGCACTCCCACCAAATATGGAGATGTGATTCCTTTGTGTTGCTACATCTCCAGCATTGGTCAGAGTAATCAATATACATCTTATTTAATTTAGTTGGAACCATGTACCACCGGTATAATACTTTATAGTACATCTCAATCAGATTTACACAGTGTTTACCCTTTTTGACCCATTTGATACCCTGTTTCTAAGTGTGTAACTCAAACGTTTTCTTAAAATCTAGTTCCCATTTCAATATTGGAAACTCTTTCACAAAGGTATCATTGATACAGAGGAATTTAAGTGAGCAGGATATTCTTTTCTGAGGGCTGTGGATCTCTAGGAAATCAATGATATCATATAAACACTTCGCCTGGGGCAAGATGATAAATAAACTGTAATAAATGGTAGGGGATTAAACTGCCCTTAGAAAAGATATTCAGAAGCTGGTTAAGACCACATCTTCTCCAACTACTCAAATCCAAATCTTTTACATCAATTTCCAATAATTCTAGTGGAGAAGATAGGGTGATTATTATTTGTTTACATTTTTTCCTTATGGTTTTAACCGTACTCAAAATCACCTTAATAATGGAAATTTTTGTAATATAATCTAATGGGCATCTCTCATCTATCCAGAAACAATCATACAGAAATCAGCTTTAAACTCTTGGCCTTCAATTTTCTTACATAAGTTGCAGGCTTCGTGTAAAGCATGTATGTCCGAAAATCCCAGACATCCATTCCCCCATGATTTCTTAAGAATTTTTTATGGAAATTCTAGGTTTCTTATTGGTCCAAATAAACTTAGAGCTAGCTACTTGAAAACAACTCAGAATTTTATAACTGACTCTAAGTGGGATTGTAGATATGTTAACTTTGGGATCAGATAAGCTTTTGTTATCCTACTCATCCAAGATAATTCAACCCTGCTCCATTTCTTAAAATACAATCTAGAATCCTCTAAAAGCTTTAGGTAGTTTATGCTGATCAGGTCTTCAAATGATTGAGTGATCTTCACCCCCAAATAGTCTGTGAATCTGTGGTTTAAACTCATAGCAGATCCTAAGCTGATTCCTCCATATATTATTAAGCCCAAATATCTGTGTCTAAGTTATGTTAATTTTAAAGTTGGAAAACTATATTCCGTCATCAAATTGAACACTGCTGGTATGGACACAAGGGGGTTTGACAGAGTCAGAAGAGCAACATCGGCAAATATGATGATCTTATGCTCTGTTTGGCCGACCCGGATGGCCTGTACTTCTTTTTGCCTAATCAGAACCGCTAAGGCTTCCATAGCCAGAATATAGAGCATGGGTGCCAGTGGGCAGCCCTGACATGTTCCGTTCTTGATATGAAAGTAATCTGATTCCATGATTGGACCAATTACCTTTGTCGATGGATTAGTATAAAAGGACATGATGCTGTCTCTTAAACTACCTATGATACCAAATTGTTGTAGAACTATATTCATAAACTGCCAATCCAACCTATCAAACGTCTTTTCGGCGTCTATAGCCAAAAAGGCGACTTTAGAGTTTTAAAAATAAATTCTGTGGGTTAGATTCATGACTCTGCGAATGTTATCTGTAGCTCCTCGGTCTCTGATGAACCCAGCCTGGTCGCCATGGTTTTTAGAAGGAATTATTTCCTTAAGACGGTTAGAGTGGACTTTTTCATAGATCTTGACATCCAAGTTTATCAGGTAGATGGGTCTGTAGTTTGAGGTTTTGGTGAGTTCTTTACCTTCTTTTGGTATGGAGACAATGGAGGCCTGAAGATATTCCTCTGGAATATGTTCCTGTTTAGGAAGGATAGACAATAACCTCAGTAATATTGGAATCACTATTTCTTTACATTTTTGATAAAAAAGAGATGTGAAGCCATCTGGCCCCAGAGCTTTATTTGGTTTGAGAGAAAAAAAGAAAAAGAAAGAAACAAAAACTTACATTACAAGTTTAGAACTTCCCCCCATTTATCCATGCCAAAAATCCACTACACATACTCTATGCTCATCTTAAGTGCCTGTCAATTAGTGTGTCTTTCAATTAATTAATGCTATTTAGTGATAAATATTAAGTAGCTATACGCCCACTTTCTAAGATTAAAAGTTACTCTCGATTGGCATATTTTATTTATTTTAATTGCCGTATACTATAATACCCGTTGTGATATTCCTTATATTCATCTTTTTCACTACCCCTGTTACTAATTTGTTTTTAACACTCTGCAACCATTTTAGTTCCTCTATCATCGCCTATAACAGAGTCTGGATGGCTTTATTGTTCTTAAGTTACCTATACTTTTTGTATCGTAAGAACCTTTAAGGGAATACCATCTCTTAATTGTCTAATAACCCATTAGTGAAAGGGGAGGGGGAGAGAAAAGGAAAAAAAAAAGTGTTTCCTCAATTTTAACTATAGCATTATATACTCATTAATCATTTCCCCTGTAGAGTCTTAATTTATTTTGTAGAATGTTGATCTTGGGTGTCATTATCTTTGATTAGTCCCATTTCTGCTAATTTCTGGTGTGCTAGGGAAGGATCTCTAAACATCAGAGAGAAGTTTTCATATTGGATAATCAAGGCTGCTGGAAACCCATATCTATAGGCAATATGATTGTCTCTCAATATGTTTGTGCAAACTTGAAATTTCCTTCTAGCTTGTCTAGTAACAAAGGAAATATCTGCAAAAATATTGCGGCTTCCGTAATCAGATTCTTCAAATTAAAAACAAAAGGGATAAAATAACAGAAGTCCTAATCACTTTCTCAGGTATTCAAAGTAAAACTTCTGCCCAGGGGGTCTTTGGTAAGAAAGGTGGTGACTCACTTAGAATTAGATTCTGGCCCCCAAGCAAGTACAAATACACATCTCAGTATCATTGGATATATACCCTGTGGATTACCACGCCTCACCCAGAGGTGGAGTTAAGGCATATCAATAGAGACAATAAGTGACCACCCCCTTGTGTCACAGGTAATAATTGACTCTATGAATTTTCTAAC